ACACACACACACACACAGCATCTTATCCCCCACCTGTGCAGCAAGTGTTTAACACTCACAGCTCTTGGCACACTGTACTGTGGCAAGTCAGATGCAGAGTGTCCCATCCAGCTATTCTAGAAATCCTATAAGCCACAACAGCTGCCAGCCTTCTAGAAAAAGAGGCCGCAAGTGAAACTCCCAGCAGTGTGTGTGATTATGTTACCAGGTCAAATAACCACGGAGCACGGGCACCAAATCCACATTTATTTTGCTGGACATAGACAACTTCGACTAATTCCTCTATGAATATCAAAGCAAAGGAACTCTATAAACCAACACATACAATTACTTACTGTCATGGATTTTAACCTCTGTCAGTAAAGTTTTATGTTTTCTCATTACAAATGCTGGCCCATTCAACAAAAACTGCATCAATACAAATTCTTAGGTTAACCACAGACTGAAAATGAAAAAAATCACCTATAGGAAGTCCAGGGCTTGTTTTCCCGATGTAGAAGAAGAGCAGCAAGGCCACGACTATGTTTGCTAAGGCATAAACCCACTGGATAACAAACATGATCACTATAGAGCTCAATGCCTGAAAGGAAATAAAATTATATATCAAGCTAAAACATTGAGTTCTTCACAAACTATCAGAAATAATTACACGAGGACAAAAAGAAATGTGCAACATACCCCGATGAGAGCGATCCAGTGGTTGCAGAACTTTGTGTAGCATGAATCTCGCATGGCTTTGATTTCGAAGCTCTGGTGTTCTGCTTTACCTTCAGCACCTAAAAATGTTAAATAAATATGAGGTCATAGAAAACAGGTACAATAAGTTGTTGAATGTTTCATTGGAATATCACCTGTGTTGTGGTTGTGATGGTCGGCACATAAATCCTGTTCTTTTGTACAGTTTTTGACCTGGGACTCTTCTCTAGCTCTGGGCTCACCACTCCCTGACTGCACCTCAGCTTCCTCGTATGGCGGAGCTGAACTCGTTTCCTCTCCTTTCTCTTCTTCTGAGGACATGTTTCTGTTCAGGTCCAAACCAAAGCTGTTCATCAGCTTCTGTTTAGCAGCAGCCTTCCTGCTCTTTCCTTGGCTGCTCAACTCTTGCACAGAAAAGGACTTCTCAGCCCCCGCGTCAACATTTGAGACAGGGGGAAACATCTGATCCATGTCCTTGGTGAACTCCGATAAAGTGCCTTTGCTCTGCAGACTCTCGCCTCTGCTCCCATAGTTGGGGAGAGGATCTTCAATAAGCAGCCTGGAGCTCTGTCTCGCAGACCTGCGCTGGTTTCTTCTGGCGTCCCTTTTGTCTTTGCTCTGCAGCTGGAAGGTCATGGCCACGCTGAAGTAAGAGTAGTCGATGAAGCTGTAGGTGAGCATGAAGTTGATGGTGACGATGGGAGCGAGCACGTTGACCTGGCCGATGAAGATGAAGGCCATCGTGAGCAGGCTGGTCAGACAGATGGCAGCCACCGGGGTCTGGTTTGGGCCTTTCTGTGAGAGATCAACACAGTAAGGTTAGTGTCAGCTGCCCCACACAAGAAACTATGAAAAAAGGTTTTCTTATGATAACACAGTCACAAGGCAAAACAGAGTCGTGTACAGTGTGTAGAATTAAGTGATATCCAGTGTTGACATTGCATGTTGCAGCTGAACACCCCTCACCTCACCCTCTCCTTCCAAACATGAAAAAGAACCTGTGGTAGCTTCAGTTGTCATAAAAACTCAAAAG